TCCTCACCAAAGCCTTCAGATCCACCTGGAAACATTCAAATCCGTCCAAATCCCTAAGAAGAAAGTCTTCAGACTGAATGGGAAGACCTCCCTGCAAAAACCACTGAATCCATTTCTCGGCCTTGGTGACAAAGTCGAAGTCTGACATGTTGTCGTAGCTCACCTGATTGATTTGGGGATTGTCTTAGGAACAATGTTCGCTAGTAGGGGCTCCTGGCATCGCTACTAGGAGCAAGGACGCTACTAGGGGCTCCTGGCCTTACTACTAGGAGCAAGGAAGCTACTAGGAGAGATTTTTTCGCACACGCGGCACTGCATCAATTCTGACGTTGAGGCTGTATGAATGATGCACAAATACTTTACCCAATGCGTTCCAAGAAACGACCTAATTAGCAGTGAATACGGTCTTGAGTCAGTCATGTCATACACAGCGTGTGACTAGCTGAACCAAGTTCCTGACTGCTTGCTCCACAGGCGGTGTGACATGGGACTTGTTCTGGCACTCAGCGGGAAGCTCAGCCTTGAGGCTTTGCGTGGAGCAGTCTTGGCTTCGAAAGAGACAGACCACTCGGAAGGTCATCCGTTTCAGAAGTTCAACTTGCAGGTTGGATCAGGTCACAATTGGACACTTAAGTTCGGTTGACACTTAACGCCCTTTACTTCGCCCCTTTTGACTAAGTGATGCTCTTTCATCCATCAAGCCAGAAAGGCAAAACAGAAGCATCATAAAAATCATAAAAGTGATTCTAATGCCTATGTCTTCACCTCTGAGACGATGACTGCAACATCTTGCTCGAGCTGCAGGACCTCACCCAGAATGTCGCAACCAGCTTGAAGAGCAAATAAGGTTGGCATGAGAAAAAGGCCCCCCCCACACACACTCGTCCCATCTCACAAAAGTCCACAGAACAGTTTGCCCATGAAGTTCACCAAATGTGCCGGGGTGCTGTCATGTCAAAACTCTCTCGCTGCTTCACGGGCGAAGTGGCGTAAGGTCTTTGCGCCAGGGCCTTCGTCGCGGAAGGACGATGAAGACTCAGCATGACTTGTGGACTCCAAAACTGTAGGTGGTGGAACCCTCAAAAGTGGATTGTTAGGCGATGGAACCGAACAATGCCCATGTCAAGTGTGTTTTCAGCGCAACAACCAAGCTGCTCAGAATATCTAAAAATTAACTGAAACATTAAGTCCAACTACAAGCAGCAGCAAGACTCGCTCCTTTTTGAATGGCGGTTTGGTTTCTTGAACACATGAATGCAGGCTCAAAATCACAGCTAGCTCCATTTTGGCTAGTGAAATGTATTCATTAAACATGACACGCTTTCCGCATGCTTCAAGCACGTATAAAACGACATTGCAAATTACACCGCTAAAAGAATTACCTCATAAGAGTGGAAAACCACGTCTAGTAGTAACAGGTGCCACGCTAGTAGTAACAGGTGCCTTACTAGTAGTAACAAGTGCATCGCTACTAGTAACAAGTGCCTTACTGTGTTGTTCGTGTTCTTTGATTGCACTCCTTCACCCGCACCCCATGCACGCGTGGACCTGGCTGGATGGCGGAACACTGGTACGTGCTTCCTCGAGTTCCTCCATAGGTATACTTTCTGCTGAAGCATCTGACAGCGACCTGCAAGCTTCTGCAGCAATCATGAGTGGCCCTCTGCCCTGGATGTTCAATCAGAACATCGAACGAGAATTTCCATGAACTGCGGTAGTTCAAGCCACACAAGAGTTGGATCATATGGGACTTCTTCATAGTCACAACATTTTACCATTATGCATCACTACCAGTCCTCAAACAAGGTGGGTCTGGGATTGAACAAAAAAGGGAACATTGCAATTTTGGGCCGGATGGTCATTGGCAGTCGAATGCAGCTCATATGCGGCAAGCCACCTTCCAGCTTCGGGCAAATGTTGGCTTTTCGCTCCAAGCGCCTGCATGTGGTTTGTGCCAGCCGGAAGTTTTGTTGAAACAGCAGTGCAAACGTGAAGAATCACCGCATCCGTCACCAACTTCACGCCAGCCTGGCTGAATGGTTCAGGAGGGAGCTCTTCCAGGGCGACTTTCTCCCCTCCCAGCATCCTCAGTTCCAATGCAGCGTCCTTTAGAGTCTCCAATGGTCCAAGTCATCTGAATGATCCTGAAGGTGTATATAGTATAGTACAAGCACTTTAGCAGGTCAGTCAAAACAAAACTCGCATATGAGCTATGCCCCATCTGCCATATCTATCATTCGGATAAAATGCCTGGATGGTCTGAAAGTGAGTCTCTATCTTGCACAACGAACAAACCAATGTCAACCTATCCGCTTGGAATTGAAACTCAACTCCCCTCACATGTCCAACCATCACAACATCTAACGTCCTCCGCCAGGCCTTCTGATGAAGACTTTCCCATCAGCAGTTTCCTTTGCATCCCACCCATTGGTGACGGACATATCCTGCAACGTGCGTGAGGCCGTGCGAGGCCGTGTGGCGAGGCGAGGGTGTGGCGGGCCAGGTGGGGCGTGTTTGGATGCTCAGGACCAAAGGGCGCTAGGCCTGTATGTGTTTGGCAGTTCCAGGAAGCAAGACATTGACTACATTGGACTACCCTTCATGAGATGCTGAAAACCATCCGATTTGAGCCGTGAATGTTGATGGAGCGTTCCCACTCTGAGCTTCCAGAAAAACCACGAGTCGATGGCTGAAACGCCGAGCCGTTTCGGATGGTCTTCTTCCGTCCAATTCGGCGAAAGGCCCCGTTGCCTTTGGCGTTCTTCCAAAGCAATTCCGAATCTCAGCTGAGGCACCGGCCTGGAGATCTGCAGTGAAGTTCTCGCTCCAAAGTTTTTGTTGATTGATGTTGATTGTTTGCTTTTACAGAAATCCTGTGAACTTTGTCTGAAGAGGTGATGAAGGTCTCAGTGACATGTGCTCCTGCACAGAATCAAACCCATCAAGCCTCCAACAGGCATTTGACTGCACGTGCTCTGCCCAAATCACAAGCTAAATGCCTGGGACAAGGCATCAAAATCATCAAACTGCAAGCTTATTAAACCTCAAGCCTCAAGCAATGGGCTTTGTCTGTGTTCATTCTGGTCACCCTTGCTTATTTATACATGCAAATATCGGATCAGATCGCACTGGCTTGTCAGTGCTTTAGCCCAAGCATCAAAGGTGTGTTGCCCTGATCGTCGAAGACGTCTGGGCTGACCTTCACAGCAGTTCTTACCACTCCTAATTATCTTCTTATATAAGACTCCCTGTCCTGGAAACCAAAGTTTGCCAGTCTTGAAGACTTCCTTGTTTCTTCTCAAAAACATGTCAAACAATGTCAAACATCATCAAACTGACACTTCTTTGACCGTTTGAGTGACCCAAAAGCTTTCTACCCCACCTCCTCCTTCAAGAATCGCTGCAAAATCAGTGCTCTCCCCCGCATGGCTGCACGATGAATGGCGGACTTCGCATTGCGTCCCTGGCGGAGTTCGCATCTCTCCAGGTCTTGGTGAGGGTGGTGCAACCTCCAATCTACAGGAATGGAGTTCGAGCTTTCACAGATGAACAAAACCATCTTCAGGATTGGACAAAACCTAAGAATCTAGTGTGGCAAGGAGTTGGCAAGAGATTGGTTTAGAGTGGCAAGGACACAATTTGTTAACCGACCATGACCGATCCCCAAGAGATCCAGGGAAAAAAATAAGAACGTAGGTCTTGTCAATGTCTCATATCCTGCAAGAAGGGCTGAAGAGCCTTCAACCCCACATTTGAACCTCCATAATGTTTTTTGGAGATGATGGACCTTCCTCCGTTGCTCTGTTGCTCCTTTCCTGAAGAGAAAGGGAGCATGGCGGTGGCGTCAGGATCACTCATTTGAGCTGTTGTCTATTGCTCAACAATTTGAGCAAACCCCCAAAGCAAACATGTAAATGGACTACTAGGCAAAAAAAAAAACAGTGGATTGTTGAGTAGTCTTACCTTTGCATCCTTGAGCAGTCACTGTAATCGACTGAGAATCTCCCCCGTGCTGTAACGCGGCAATCGCGTCTTGCCTCATGTTCGCAGGTGATGATCTCATTCAGTAGAGCTGCCTCGTCAGAAAGCAGGATCTCGTGCCTGGCCCTTCTTGGATTCATTTCAGTTTGAATCTATATAATGAATATGTTTTGTGTCCTCAAGTTTATAGTATAATATATAGTTTAACTATATATATATTTATAGAATCTAATATAATGCAGGACCTCGAACACGCCTTCCAAATCGATATTCAAGCTCTGCAACTCTTCCCTTCTCAGCTCCCGGCCTTCCCTCTCTCCTTGTGAGCTCTCTGCAGATAGCGATCAACCCCAGCAAGGTCGTTATCTCCAACAAGCTCCACCAAAGACATGGCTTCGCCAGGTGGTGTGCAGGGGTCGGAAAAAACTTGGTCTCTTGGAAAAAGACAACTCAGTGCAAGTTAGTGCATGACGTCACAAGAAGGCTACAACTGCAGGGCATACTTGGGCAAACACATGAGTTGACTCAGTTGACTCATGATTTGTTGTAAGTCATTGCATGAGCAAAATTGGAATCTGACCTGATGTGACAAGTCTGTTGAAGGAAACAACGGCTACTGGCATTGCAGCATTGCAGCATCACCCAGGCTCTAATTCAAAGCAGGCCTGAAAGGATACTGGAGTAACGGAGTGACACAAGTGGTTTGCCCAAAGCAAACTTTGAGCAAGTCGCCATAAAAATGTCTCGCAACAAGTAAGACCATGTCTACCAATAACTGAGCTCAGAACTCAGTGACAATACAAATATTTGGAGGTTGCAAGCACCTCAGCCGTTACGGAGAGCCCCGCTGCGCAGCATAGTCTGCAGAGTCATCAAACTCCAAGGCAGCAGCGCCCCAATGAAGCTCACAAGGCGAGGGTGATTCAAGCCTCAAGCACAAATGACATGAGATGAAAAGCCGACACAAAACCATCAAACATCGTAAAAATATGTTAAACGTGTCAAAAGGGAGACGTAATTCACCAAGCATTGCCAGGTGTGTTGAGACCGACCCCTTGTTCCACAACATTGACAGTACGCTGCGTTTCAAGCAAGGCACTACGAAGGGCGGCAACCTCCTTTTCCAGCTCTTCGAGTTGCAAAGGAGAGATGTTGCCTCAATGGAAGATCATGACTCAAACAATCTTAAATAACATGACTTCTGCGACTTGTGTTCAACAAGTCTGCTTAGATGAACATGATCTGACGAAAGAACCTAAACGCAACAAGCATCCTTCACGCCTCCATCTTCACAAAATAGCTTCTTGATTGCAACCTGTGCTCCAACAATTTCAGCATCCCCAAGCCAACGGACAGCCGTCGTGGGGTCGGTTGGCTTACGCTCCGTGGTCACGGCACGAACAGATTGCCGAACTGATCTGTGGCCGTCCCGGCTCCGGCGATCGCGCCTCCCGGCTGCCCAAATAGCCGCGATAGACCGCTCCAAAGCCGCCGGAACCCAAGCAGTCCCTTTGGACCAACCTGGTCGGGGCGGTTGCCCACAAGACCGGTCACAGAGTGTTACCACGAAGATCGAGCTTTTATAATGGTGAGGATGCTGTGAGGCTGTGCTGGCTGAGAGTGCAGCTGGTTGAAATCTATCATCTCGTGCTTGTGAAGCAACAACTTCTTGCCTGCAGCAGGGATGCACAAGGATTTACTGCAAGCAAAAAGGGACACAAGCTATATGAATCATATTTAAAGGGGAGCAGCCTGCCGTGTTTGCAAGGCAGTTATGGTTTCATGTTGCTTCGCGCCTTTATCGGCTGCCTCTGCCTTAGGCACGGCAGGTGGCGCCGCCGCCGGTGTCGCTGGTGAAGGAGAGGTCCATTGCCGTCGCTCACTGGAAGGCGTAGCTGTGGAAGGCGTAGGTGTCGCTACCTTGTACCCGTGTTTCAACAGGTGTCCACCCATGTCGAGATTAAACAATTGGTTAAATGTGTTTTAACTGTGGAAGTCATGAAGTCATGAAACAGCATTAAAGGCCAAAAGGTTGAGGTGCAAAGGCGACCAACATCTTGAATACTCGCCCTGAGCTGCTGAGTTCAGGACCCAGGCTCGACGCTCCGGAGTGGCCCCCCTGTGCCTGGCTCGTACGAACTGACTGCGACTGTGGATATCTTTAAAACCAATGCACACCAATAATAATGTGAATCAACTAACTTAAGCATTGCTCGCCTGCAATGCGATAGCCAAAACTCATAGACTCATAGATAACTTATAGTAAGTCCAGCAACTTCGTTTTGGACCCTGGAAGCAACTGCCAGTGTCTACATCTGCCCCGTCTCTCCGCCTGGCTCTGAAGCTGGGACCTCGCGAGACCGACTTGCCGGTCTCGGTCCATCCGAAACGAAGAAGCCATAGGCGAAAACAGCTGTCCATGTTTTTGTCCATTCATTGTGAGCAAGAGTGTGACAGGGAAGAAATCAGGTGCCAACTCACCACTCGGCGACTCAGTTGAACCTGGCCGATCCGTGCCACATGAGTGCCACATCAATTACCACAGTGCCACCGTTTCAACTCGGTTTGCCAGCAAGAAAGTTTGGAGCTTCTTAATTAGTTTCTATGCTTGAATGACTTGTACATTGGCCTGCTGTGGGCGTCTTACCTGCGACAAACACCAAAAATGGATTTGCAATTTATTATGCTTTTCAGATGCTTTCAGGTTCCAGCAACTGATTGGTCAATCTTCGATGTAACAGCTTGTAGTATATCAATCTTGGCGAATGGTCGTACTGTATTCTTGGTTGCTTCTTTTTGACCTATCCTTGGCAAATTGTGAGACTGTGTTCTTCTCCAAGTGTTGCACCTCGATCACCAAGCCCCACTTCGACCTCCTGCAATTCCCGGGCGGGACTCCATATCGTATCAAATCGTGTATGTTCGAGTTAATGTTACATGATAACTGAACTGCATTCAGGGCTCTATCCCCGGAGAGGCCCTAGAAGTATAACCCCAAGAAGTGCTATACAAAGCATTTTAAAGTGTTCTGTTCAATTATCCATGGCTTGATTTTCGCGGACTCAACTCAAGCGATCTCAAGCGTTTTGCAGAAAACTACCAGTATACTCTAGAGCACTTGGTTTTTGCATGTTTTTGCGGTATATTCTTTAGCATGAGGCATGGATGTTGTACTGCTCAGCCTCTGGTATTCCTCTCCCAGTGCACCAAGCAATCCATTTCCCTACAAATTAAAACTATCTGCGATCCACTGACAGGATTGACGATTTCCTTGGCCAGGAGTTCAACCAGCTGCCATGCCTCCAAACGACTAAGTAGCACCAAGTATCAAATAAATAGCAATATCAAGGTTCACTGACGCAAGTGCCTAGCTGTACCAACAAGGTCCATCACTCCTAAGAGTCCTTCAGCTGCCAACTCTCGGCTCTTCAGATGGTGTTGTCAACTTGGCCCAATCTTGATCCTGCCTGTGCCAATGTGATGTCCAAGTCAGGAACGGATTTGAGCTTGTCCACCAGGTCATCACATTGGCCTATCAGCCCACTCTGAGGAACCAAACATGTGCACATATGACAGGAAAAAAATTGGCAAATATATGTCTCTGGAAGTATGGATAATGGTGCAAAGCATCGTGCAGCAGTGCAGAAAAAGTATGTGACTTCTATTATTTTCGCAGAAAAAAAACGCCTTTCACGATGCTGTCTTTCCCGAATGAGCAGAGTTGGTCGAAGTTCCTGATCAAGCTCTTCACACAAGCTTCTTGTTGGGCTTGCAATGAGTTTACCATGGTTTAATCAAAAGAAATACATGAATAACATATAATATCATATATTATCGTTATATAATTACAGTTTACCATTGTTTTGCTGTGGTCAGGAAAACTCATTCTGTGAAGCTCAGAAAGAACAACATAGAACTGAACCCACGAGTGTTGTGGCTGCAGGAGCTGGCTTGGGCTCGCTCACGCAGCCCCGTCCTGTGACTCTTGCGCGCTTCAGCGATCTGGTGCAGGGCCCCATCTGGGTCCTTCCAAAGCCGCGGAGAACTGCCAGTGCCAGAAGTGATCCGTTCTCAAGGTTGACGTTCCCCCATTCTAGAATACTCCACCTAGTAGAGAGATATAATCTACCGGTTGCTATGCTGCTATGTGATGCTATTCTTGCACCTAGAAATCATATGGTGGTTATTGGTGGTTGATCTAAATTCCTTTCATCTGGAAAGTGCCTCTTCGCGAAAAAAAAAGATTACTTTCGCGACCCCAACAATTCTGGATGGCATGGTCCGACGACCGTTCCCCATCCAATATCCCACGATGATGATGATGATGATGATGATGATGATGATGATGATGATGATGATGATGATGATGATG